TAATCTTGTGTAAACGTTTCCCATCTGAATATTTCTCTTATACATTTTTTTGCATTATTTACAGAAATTAAATCATTTACGAGTATTTTACCAATTAAATTCTTAGTCGTCATATGTTTTTGACCGGTTCTTAGGGAAATAATTTCGACTGTTTTTGCTTTTCTATTTTTTCGCAAAACTTGGAATAATTCTAGATGTAAGATAGATGCATCAAGTTCAGGATTTATTTTGTCTGGGAATAAAACTATATCACCTGAATGAATAGTGCCCAGTTTTATACTTAGTTTAGATTTTTTGATCTTTTCTCTGTTTTTAACATCTTTAATTTTGATGAATTTGGTCATTGTCTCATTGTTGTTATTGACGTATTCAAATATTTTTCCCGATCCCAGCATATTAAAGATATTTCGTGCGGTAGATTTATAAAAAAAATCTTCTCTCGTCATATGAGAGCCATCAACCTGAAGTTTGTTTATTTTATCCATAGCCGAATGAAGTAAGTTAGCCCAGTTTGGTTTGTACATATTAAGATCTTCATCATAAATGTACTTTTTTAATGTGTTTTTAATTTTGCCATTATTATCATCTGATGAAAATATTTCGAATGATATAACATCTGCCAATTTTACAAGTGCATTATTTAATTCTCGACTACCATCTGTACGGACACATCTAGGGAATCCTATTGTAGAAAATATAAGATTCAAATATTTTCCAAGTGTAGAACTTTCTATATTCATAAGTGGTAGTGATATGCAAAAGTTTGTATATTTATCAACTAATAGTAGAATATTACAGTAGTTGTTAGATTTGGGAAGATTGCGAATGATAGATATATTTAGTAGTTCACGGCTAGACTTAGCTATAAATTGATTTCCAGTTTTTAAAGATTTCCCTGGTATTTGCGAAAGGGAATTACATTGGCAAGTCATGCATTTATTAATGTAATTAGTTATGTAGACTTCAGCCAAAGGGTGAAAAAAATATTTTTTAAAAGTTATTTTACATTTACGTTTTGAGCAATGTAATAGCTTCTCGTGTAGATGTGGTATAACTTTCTCTAGTAGATCTGTAGGAATACATAATCTGTAATGATTATCCAAAGTTTTATATAGCATCTTATCAATAATTACAAATGGTTTCCTAGTTCTAAATAAACATTCTTCATAAATATGGCCTAAATATTTATCTCTTTTTTGCAGGAATTTAATGTTATTATCATAATTTTCATCACTATAGCCATCATAATATAAAAAATCTCTAATCAACATTTGACGCCCTTCTCGGGTAAATGTTTCGTATTTAATACTCATATAACTTAAATTTTGTTTTTCTAGATCTTTACTTGAACTACAGCCGATTGATTTTCTTGTCCTGGTGTTGGAAACGCGGTAATTTTTTATTTTTTTCTTTATTTTTTCACTAGGCAAGTTATCATTATTAGTGTTTAAAAAATAACTAACATTGTTTCGTCCAAAATTACTTTTATTTTTGTTTGTTTTCGGATTATTAATTAATGTATTAATATATGTTTTCTCCTGAGTTAGAGTATCCGAATTATCTAACCCAGTTGTCCATTTTTTTTATAATCCCATTCAAGGTCACAGTTATGTTCAAAATGAAAGCCGTTATGACATTTTTTACAGTTTGAATCATTGTATGATTCAAAATATTTACAGTTGAATTCGTGATGTCCATAATGTCTTTCCGGATTACATTTTCTACAAAATTTGTATTTATAAGGGTTGTAATCTTCCCTACAATTTCTCCCGGGTCTAAATCTAGGATAATCCTCTCTTATTTCTGAACTGTGGCTCCTTGGAAAATAACCAGTGTAATGACCGTCCATAGTCCTATATTTGTTTGTTTCCGATTCCGGTATATTACGACGCGACGTAAAATCTGGTGACATTCTTCTCTTGGTGTATCTACTTCTATTTTCTTCCTTGTAGTTATTTCCATGATATGAGTTGTATCTGTCATCCGGCCTACTGTCACCTAGGGTATGATCTTCTACGTATCCGTCTCTATTATATGTATTTTGTTTAGGCTCGGACCTGAGCTCACTTCTATCTAGACACTGAGACCTGTCATCTGTTCTATAGTAAGTATTATAATATTTACAGTTGTCATTTGCAAATAAGTATGAACAATCTTTGTTTTCTTCATGATGTATTGAATCATAACTGTCAGTTTTGTTTTGAATATTATATAAAGTTGCGTTATATAATGTTTCTTCTTGTATAGAATTTTGTTGTTTTGTATTCCGTCCATATTTCAATATTTCCGTTGGAATATTTATTTCATTTTGTTCCAGACGTATTAACATATCCTTATAATGTTCATAATTATATTCTTGATTAAGTTCCTTCTTCCTTTTGATGTCATTTACCACTTCTAAGGATAATTTATCATTAATAAACGACGTCAGTGCCACGAAGTGATAGTTTTCTCGAACTTTATGCTGATTTGGTTCTGGAAATATTTTTCGAATATAAGATTCGGCCTCAGCTAGAATTAACTGCAACGGAGTGTTTATTTCGCGTGTCAATTTACGCAAAGCTCCCCATAATAATGTTGATTTGTGAATCGGTTTAACCGATTTTATTAAACAATCTGCAATTTCATTAATGTTCATATGGGAGTACAAATCTTGATTTAAGCCCCCCAGCCTAATCAATCCCATCAATGCTAATCTTACATCTCCCTCTGTATAGCCAGATGATTTTGCTAAAGACTTTAAATCTTGCATTACTGCCTCCCAGTTAATAATCTTCTTTTCTGTGTCTATATATGATAGACATTTTTTAATTTCAGTCTGAATTCCGTAAGTAAAAGAATTTGCAACGGCAAAACCTACTCGACTTGTGTCTTTGTCATCAAGCTTAACATATTTTTGTCTTGTGTTTTCTTCTTTATATTCAGGTGTCCCATCAATCCAAGCTTTGTTCAAATAACAAATATTAGTTGTCCCAAAACTTTCTATATAATCAGCTAATTTATAGTTGCATTTATTCAAGTCGTCAAGGACAGACTCCATTGAAAAAGTTTTTATTTGAAAATCAAATTTCTTTTCATCATCTTTTTTATTCAAAGTAATCAGTTTTTTCTTGATTATTTTCAATTCTTCAGATGAATCCAGTTGTGAATTAGAAGAGCCTGATTGAGTATCACCATAAAGACGACTTCTGATAGAACCCAATATCTCATCAATCTCTTCAATGTTTTCGTCAGGTAGGTGATCTTTTAATAGAGTTAAACTCAATATATTCTCTAGTAGGTTTATTCAAGATAAAGAATCTTCTAATTCGATGTCTTTGAGTGACATTTTCGTGTTTTAATCGTACAATATTCGATATAAACAATTGTACGAAATGTCGTCTTCGAATTTAGATGAATGAAAACACGATAAAATCGATTACGTGTTTATATTTTTATGTACTGAAAACCAGAATTATCGTCATACAGAGCAATATAACTGTTGTAAATAAACAGCTCGTGTATAGTTGTATAATATTAAGAAGGATCTATCTTAAACTATATCTGATTATATTACTGATTGAATGTGAGATAAATCCATTCAATCAATGGAGAAAGTAGTCATCAAAATATTCCGTCTATTGGAATTTTACAAACTTGCAAATTGGATTAAATCTCCTTTAGTTAAACTGTGTTGTCCAAAGCTACTGAGAAGTACTTTTATTCATATTATTTTTTAAATTTTTTAATTAAAATTGAATCAGAGTTGATTTAACTTTGATGTGCAAAGCTATTCAGAGTTCAGAAATGCACCTTTTCATGTATTTAGAATAAGGTTGTCTTACTAGTTATCAACCAATCAAAAAGAGTTATTATAAAAATATAAGTAATATTTTTTAAATCACGAGGTGACGTATTTTATTTTCAAAGTTCTCTTTTTTAAATTAAAATTCAATCACAACAACCAATCAGTAAATCAAAGTTTACTTTACTTTAGTATTATGACACTTATTTTACCATACAACACAACTGTATGTATTATGTATTCTTTTTTCTTTCTTATTTTAGAAAACAAAATTCGCAACGATTTTTTAAATGTCGTTTTCCAAAAATTTAGCAAATTTCTAACTATTTATTTGGGCTTTATATTTGTTTTTCTTAAAAGTCCGCATATGAATTATGAATATTCTTTTACTTAGGTGGTAGATGGAAACAACTGGAATTTAGAAATAGAATCTGTTTATCATAAAAACTACACCCAGGTATTAGGTGTTTAATATATATTATATTCGGCCCCTTATATTCAGTTCTTTGGGTTTAGTATCTGTTTTTCTGGTCTATTTAATTTATGTTCTTAAGTGCTGCACACCAAAACTTTACTGTTTTACGACAAATTTATCAGTTTTTGCCAATTTCTCAAAACTTGAGTCAAAATATACCACTGGACTTTAGATATTAAGCATAAATTCATCAAAATTTTGCCAATTACTTCTTAAGAACCGAGCTAACAAGTTATAGCACTAAAATGTACATGTAAAGGGCTACAGATAAGAACAAGTATGCTAGATTGGTAAAATCAAACCTCAAGAAACTAGAAACTGTCTCAAAAATAAATGAGATTTTGTATTATCATTCATTTATTCATTATCTTGCATTTAAAAGCAAATATATTATCATTCATTTATCAAACATATAGATGGAAAATTATAGTTCATATATATACATGAAATATACACAGTCAAAATGTATTTTACAATAATTACAATTATGTACTTTTTGAGAAAAAGATCAATGTTAATCAATTTTTTTTTCTTCAGTTTTTAAATCATTTTCTAAGATCTAATTTCTTTTCATCATTTATTTCTTCATCAGGCGGCGAAAAATTTGGTCATGTGTCTCCGAGTTTCATTAGTTTTCTTAGGTTTAGTTTATTTATCTGGGTTATAGTTAGCTTCTGGACTATTCTGCACCAAGATAAGTTAGGGGAGGTTCCACAGGTAGGAGAAGAGCATCTTCTCACCTTAACAAGACAAGTTCAATTGATAATTTTCCCGAAATCAATTAAACAATTTAATGCAATCAATTAATCAACTTGTTGCATAATTGTGAACTAGCTCGCCTTTTATCCATTAAAAGGTTGCTGTAGTGGAGGTCCTTCCTCAGGTTAATCTTGTCTGGTTACGTTACCCTGTATAGGCACAAGATTTGATCAGGTTTTATTTCAACTTTAAATAGTTTATCTTGAAATTCCAATGTTTTCAGCTAACCTGTAGTTGATGTGCTTATTTCCCCAGAGCTTGTGCAGTAATGTCTCCAGGTATACTAAACCACTCAACTTCTAAATGGACAGTTTGTTTCTTTGAGGTTTTGTACTTTAAAGAGAATTCAGAAATATTTTGTAAAGATTTCTACCTTTTAATATTTAGCTGGGTAAAGAGTTGAGCCAGGAGGTCTTATTAAGGTTTAAGACTCCATGAGCTAAGAGGTTTTCTTAGCTTGAAAACCCACTCTTTTATCCAGGTATTCTCTGAGATAGGAGGTTTATTAGCTTAAACCCGCTCAGTTCTCTTTGTAGTCAGTAATCCTCAGACTCCTGAACCATTTATAATTAATCTCAATTTTATTCTTTACAATGTGTTTTCAACTGTACCTTTGATGTTCAGTTGAACTACTGATATCCTTGAAGGTTTCAACTGTATCTTTGATGTTCAGTTGAACTACTTATATCCTTGAAGGTTTCAACTGTACCTTTGATGTTCAGTTGAACTACAGATATCCTTGAAGGTTTCAACTGTACAATTTAATAAAATTAATTTTCAAGATTGAAAATTTTCTCTTTCAAAAACCAGATTATTTTTAAAATCTCAATTTTGTAAATTCTATTTTTAGCTAATGAAAATCTTTAAATCAAATATCTTGTATAAAGATTGAGAAATTATCATTCAAAAATTGAAGTTTGCTTTTAAAATCTCAACTTTGTAAATTCTTTAGCAAATGAAAATCTTTAAATCAAATGATCTATTTAAAGATAAGGTTCAATTTGTCAAATCTATTTAGGACAAATTTTTAAGAAGTCCGGTAGAGTTCAAAATTATTGGAGTGTCAAAGAATTTAGACTTTGTTTTCAAACTGGATTCTTTTTCTCTCTGATCTTTTCAAAATTGATAATGTCAAAATTTCACTTAAAATTGAGAAATTTGCCGTTTTCAAATTTAGTTTCTCAAATTAAAAAATTCGAAGAATTTAAACTTTGTTTTCAATCCAGATTTTCTTGTTATTTCTGATATATTTTCAAAATGATTAAAATTTGGGAAGTTTGCCTTTTTTGATATTCAGCTTTCTCAAATTAATAAAAAAGTTCAAAGAATTTTGATTTTGATCTCGGTCCAGATTTTCCTTTTTTTCTGATATATCTTTAAAATTGACAATGTCAAAATTTCAATCAAAATTTGCAAGTTGGCCTTACTAATATTTAGCTTTTTCAAAATAATAAGAAATATTTAAAGAATGTAAACTTTGCTCTCAATCCAGATATTTAGTTATCAGATAGTTTTGGATTTTAGACTCGAAGTCAGAATTATTAAAAAATTGTGCATTAATATCTATATTTGACTTTCCGGATATTCAAAGGAAAGATTAAAAATTTAAAATGTAAAACCAAAATTTAGGAATTTACAAAGAAATGATTCAAGTATCCAGACGTTTTCTATTTAAAGTATACAGGAGTTTGTACCTAAAAACTTGTATTTTCTTGAATCAACAGAGAAAAGATATTAAGTGAGTCTGTAAAATTTTAGATTTTCTCCAAAATTAGGTTTTTGAATTTAAGTATCAGAATATCTGGATTCAAAAGCTTGTATATCTTTTGATCAATAGAAAAAATTTGCAAAAACAAATCTTTAAAATTTCAGATTTTCTCCAAAAATAGGTTTTTGAATTTAAGTATCAGAATATCTGGATTCAAAAGGTTGTATCTATTTTGATCAATAGAAAAATATGCAGAAATTAATCTTTAAAATTTCAGATTTTCTCTAGAAATAAGTTTTCAGTTAAAATACAGAATATCTGGATTCAAAAGCTTGTATCGTTTTTGATCAATACAGAAAAGATGTAAAAATGAATCTGTAAAACTTCAGATTTTTACCAAAAAATTGGCTTTGAATTTAAATATCAGAATATATCAGGTCAAAAGCTTGTATCTTTTTGATTATTTGAAAAAGTATGTAAAAAGGAGTCCGTGAAATTTTGGATTTTCTCTAAAAATTAGATTTTTTGGGTTAAAATAACAGAATATCTAGATTCAAAAGCTTGTATCCTTTTTCAGCTAACAATTTTATTTTCTCTATATAAATCTTAAGCCATAATCTAAAATTTAATCTGTATTCTCTCAAAAACCGCTTTTCAACTTGAACTTGAAATTTTAGATTTTTTATTAGGAAACCAGATTTTAGTTTTTAAATCTATACAAAGCCGTTTGTTTTATAATTAGATATAGGGCAGGGATATATCAAAAATAAATATGAAACCTTTTCTAGCAAAAATATCAAAAACTTTGTATAATGTAAGTTTTAAAAGCTCAAAAATCCAGGTTGCTCAAAATTAGTTTAGATATGTTATGTATTAAAAAACGGATTTAATAGGGTTGCATGTATTCATGCGGAGCTAATAGGTTTGCATTTGTTAATGCGGAGCTAATTTATAATGTTAGTCAATTTAACGTTCTCGTTGTTCATAATATATGTGTTCCGGTTTCTGGAGTAGTATCTTAGTTTCAGGAACCCTCTGTTGGCTTCATTTCTGGAACATTTGGAACAAGTTGGTGATTTGTCTCTCGAACAGTAACTTTTGGAACAAGCTGGTTTTGTCTCTGGAATAGGAACTCTTGTAACTAGCTGTTTTGGTCTCTCGAACAGTATCTCGGGTTCTATAGTTATTTGCTGTTAACGGCAACTACAGCAATTATATTATGAACAATACGTTTTGCATACGGTTTGCGGTGTTAGTAATCGGTACGGTACGTAATTTATCGTTAATGTTATTTCTGCATTCCCGAACAGTTACTTCTGGATCAGTACTTCGTTAATGTACTTCTTCTTAGTCTGCAATAGTTTCTTCTGGAACAGAAATGTACTTCTGGATAGGCTGCAACAGTAACTTTTACTTCGGGATATCTTCTGGAACAGTTTTCTCAACAATCTGGAACAGTGCTTCTCTGCAGGATTAACTTCTGGAACAATTGTTTACGTTACGTGTATTTGACGGACGAACGGACGTACGCTCGGTAGCGTAAATATCGTGTTGATTCCGGGATTCCATATCTCGTAGTTGTTATTGGAACTGAGGTCTTCTGATGACTGATGGAATCCAGTGACTTTAAGGTTGTTGGAATCAAAAATACAGAAACTTTAATGTGACCTCGTGATGGAAACTTTATCTTCTTCTTTGTGATGGAAACCAGATCTTCGTGATGGAAACCAAATGTTCGTGATGGAAACCAAATCTTCGTGATGAAAACCAAATCTTCGCGATGGAAACTAAATCTTCGTGATGGAAACCAAATCTTCGTGATGGAAACTAAATCTTCGTGATGGAAACCAAATCTTCGTGATGGAAACTAAATCTTCGTGATGGAAACTAAATCTTCGTGATGGAAACCAAATCTTCGTGATGGAAACCAAATCTTCGTGATGATGAAAGCCTAATCTTCTCTGGGATGAAAGCTTTATCTTCTCGGTGATGAAAGCTTGATCTTCTCGGGGTGAAAGTTTAAGTTTCTTGGTGATGAAAGCTTGATCTTCTCAGTGATGAAAGTTTCAGTTTCTCGGTGATGAAAGCTTGATCTTTTCTTTGTATAATTCTGCCAAACTTCAGCAAGGGCGTATACAGAAATAAATCTAGGGGGGGGGCAAGATTTGCGCGAAGCGCAAAATTTTTTTTGCCCCCCCCCCAGGGCACTTCAGCTAGTTTGAAATACAAATTGGGGGTGCAATGAAAAAAGTAAATTCAATCCAAATTAAAAAGACAAAAAATGATCTTTTACTACCTCCAAACTCAAGCCTTCGCGGCTTTGCATCACTACTAAACAAGACTAGCATATAATATAAAGTGTGTGAGCTGTACAAATGTATGCAGACTGTGTGTTTTCTGAACCCAACTAAACTCTGTGTACTCTGTGAACTTAAAAGTTAAAATTAGGTTAGGTTGGTTAGGTTAACTTGGTTACAGCATGAGCACTGCACTGTAATTATATATATTTTAAAATTTGGATTTTTTATAATAATCATGAAAAGCAAACTTATTTTTTTGTGTTCTTCACTCTTCAGTTAAGATTTGAAAAGTGTGAAAGGCTTGCAGAATTCAAGGGGGGGGCACTGCCCCCATGCCCCCCCCCCTGTATACGCCCTTGAACTTCAGACCCCGTTGATTATCTATTTAGCTACTCCCGGAGCGACAGGGTCCAGATACATACAAAAATAAAAGGTTAACCGTGTAACCTGAGAAAATATCTCACATCGATATTTTCTTTACTATGCTATAGTCCTGTGCCGAACCAAATTTGATTTTCTAATAAATTTTCTAATAAATACTTTTAAAATTAACAATTAATATGATAGTTCTCATTTCCCAGAGACCTGCATCTTACAAGGATGAAGTGCTCAGGACTTCGTGAACCTTCATATCAATCATTTTATCAATCTGCAAGTAAAAAATATAGATAATAAAATTCAGGACGCACGACAGACTATAGGTCTTCTCAAGCCGAAGGCTTAGGTAGGAGTGATCTCTTTCTCTCTGGCATCAGATCCCTAGCTTCCCCACATGTGGTACTCTCTATGCATGGGGATCAGGATCTCATCATATGGTGATCTCATTCTCTTTATGCATCAATCCGAGCAGATTTAAAGGGCCTGTTCCTGACTATTTAGATTGAACTCATCTTATCTAAATAGCTGTACTAAGAGAATATAAACTTTACTATGGTTTACCCATACTTAGAATTGATAGTACACAAACATCGTCTTGGTTATCTAAATAGGTCGAGTATTCATTTTCATTAGTTTTCGGAAATTTGAATCCCGAGGTCATAACTGCCCATTTTGACCTCCAAAAATGGTCTTTTCGGGGGGAGCATTTCCAGAGTAAAAGTCGATAAAAAAACTATAACCAACATTTTATTAAACATGACGAGGACAGCAATTCCCAATTTTGAACTTTTTGAAAAATCAAAATTATAATACGAGTTCTTTTTATATTAAATCTCTTAACCGTTTTCAAGACAATGTTAAGTTTACAAAATAAATCATTGAAAACAAAAATCTTATGAAGACTAAATTAACTTCTGAATTATTTCAAGAATATAAGTTTCCACATTTACTCTGTTAAATTAGAGAATTTCAATGATTTATTTTCAAGCATTTTAAACAAACTGTTTCCCGCATTTCTATAGTTAATTCTATACTGTAACAAATGATATTAATATTTTGATTTCTAAATGCTGTAATAATTTTTAAATTATAAAAGAACAGTTTGTTTTTATTTCCTATTTTGCTTATATTTTACCTTATTATAAAATCTTTTTTTGTTACGTAAGTGCGGAAATGCTTGAAAATTGACATTGATATGAATTCCGGTAATTGTCTCAAAACCAGGATATGTTCCGAAAACGCGACATGATGAGCTCAAATCCAGTAATTGTTTCAAAATAGGGATATGTTCGAAAATGAAATCAAGAATCATCAAAAACATATTCTCACACCTTATTAATAGTTTAAAATTGACATTTATTG